TTTTTCATGGCAAATATTTACATCAAATGGCAGGCGTCTTACAACCTACTAGATGCAGAAGAGCGAGTTAAAGATGTAAAAGAGACAGACACAAAGGTAAAACAAAGGTGAGGTGAGTACTATGAAAATATTCGAATATGGCATAGAGTGAGGTGATGGTAGTTTGAAGTGGCAAGTCAACTGCCAGTCAACAGACTTTTTGCCGTATGAATATACGTTGCCCAAGGTGCACCACGTGGAGGTAAGTCTATTGCACACCCCTCATGGTAAATATAAAGCAAAGCAATTCAGAGTGCCTTTTGAAGTACTAAGGTCGTGGAATATCTGAAAGCAATGGGATTTAAGTGATCTGAGATGGATGAAAAACCGCATAATTTGTGCAAAAAACTAACATCCTGGCACTTTTCCATATTTAATTTGTATTATATCATTTCATATTTTCAAACCAACAACTCCCATTGTGTAAACGGCTCTGGGTATGTAGCCTGAGATTTCAGAATTAGCCAGTGAGCCTAATATCCACTACGCCACCTGTATGCAGAACAGAGGATTGAAGCCTTTCAGTAATTCCTGATGGCACTTTATCAGGAACTAAGTCGGAAATGCGAAATGGAGATCTAAAAATGGTCCGGTCATTTGAAACGCCTTACCGGCAACTCACTTTTAAATTGTAACAGGGCGACAGGTTAATCGGTTAATGACAATTTTAAAGGGCTATAAATTCCACTGCTCCGTTTTCGAAATCTTCTGCAAACAAATCTCCCATCCAATGCAATCGTCAGTATATAAAATTCAATCATAAAATTCCCTCCTTTAAGAAGAATTAATCAATCAAAACTCAAATAGTTAATATTTCAATAGCATTTGTTAAAACTGTTCTGATTTAATGAATAGGCGTTAGACTTCTTGTATCGAACAACAATAACTTTCAAGTAACTTGTAGAGATACTTAACCTATTCAAAAACCCCACCACCTATTTTGCCACGTTGTCCCCTCCCATACCCCTCCCCTCTCTGTTTGCAATTCCAAAATTCAAAAATAAACCATTATCAGTCAGCGCCATTATTTTGACTCCTTATTGTTAGACAGATATCTACAACCACCCACCAACCTCTG